ATTGGCATTTGGTCGAGCGAAGAAGTGGATCTTACGGAACCTTGTACGGAGGAGAAGAAAAGTTTGTCACCCACATCCATGAATGTATTGAATCGACAGATCATTGAAGAGGTTGTTGAAGAACCGCACGGAATGAGAGTTTCACCAGAATATTTAACGGTAGTTGGAGGCCCATCGGTAAATGCAGCTAGTCCTAACACATCATCTGCCTCGCTCCCACTTCGAAGTAACCCAAGTAGTTCTTCATTAGCAAAACATAATGCTAAACCATTATTCGAGACCACATTTACAATTTCCAACAATACAAATGAACCTCTCCGATATGAAATACTATGGCCTGCGTTCCGATTTGACGTTAGCCCGGCATATGGTGTTGTTAAAGCTCAAGGCGTGACTGTCGTTAAAATTTCAGTTATGAATAAGCACTTTTCTGCAGGTTCACGACGTGACGAGACCAAAGATTCAAGAAAACTAATGGGAATCCTTAAAGGATCGGAAACAATTGACAATAATAATAAGCCTTTGATGGGCAGAACCAGGATATTGGTACTCTGTGAAAATGGAGAACGAAAAGAAGTTGTAGTTGACATTGTACAAGTAAAAAAGAAAGTAAAGGGTGAAACTGATGCAGCACGATCTTCAAAAAATGTGAAAGATTCAGAAGATGGTAACTTTCGAAGGAGTTTCTCACAAAAAATGGATAATCTTTTTAGAGTCGCAAAAAGAGCAAGAACGAAAAAGGATAATAAAGACGAAGATAAATCACGATCAACCAATAACAAAGTAAAGACATCTGTAAGCAAGGCCATAGGATCCACTAGCAAATCTGCGAGTTTATCTGTTCCCAAAAAGAGCATGTCAAGTGGGCCCACTAGTCGTCCCAGCAGCCCAGAAGGTAGTAATAAGTATAATCATACAGTGAGAAAATATGCATCTACAACATCAATTCGTAGCCGACCAAATACACCGGATACTTATAGACAAATTACGTCGCCTTCACCTGGTATTCGTTCACGAACACCTGATGAGTCCAAACCTGGAAAGCAACTCCCACAACGTAAAAATTTCATATACATTGGTGTTCCTGGTAATATCAGTTGTCCAACAACGGTAATTCGAGAAACGAACCATAGCGTATTTCGTATTCATAATCCGACCAATAAACCAGTTACTTGGCATCTTACTACTGCAACAAATCCTTTTCTGCGTCGTTCCGACACAACCAATTCAGCCCAAAAAATAAATGATGAAGTCTTC